AATAATATTTCAATTTATTTAGACTTCCTTTAAAAAAAAATCTCTGTAAGGACCCAAAAAAAAAATGAAAAAAAAGAAAAAAAAAAAACCAAATAAAGTAATCCTAAATAAGACAGAGGTCAGGGAAATATTTGGCCCTAGATCTGTTGGGGTATATCCTTTCCATCACAGATCATCTTTTTTATCAACAGTCTCTACAGGAAAAGTTTTTAATCGTACTTTCAAGAAACATAGTGAAGAAATTTCCTTAAAGCTGTGCAAAGTTATTAAAAAAGCAAAATTAAAATTAAAAAAAAAAGCAAGAAGTATCATTTGCAAAAGACACACTGAGATGTTAAATAAACCAAATGTATTTTATTTTGGACTGGAATACTAATATATTCAAATTGCCAATTTGAAGTTGGGCACATTTTATATCAAGCTGTTTTATTTCTGATTTTAGTGTTTTATCTGAACTTTGGCACATAATTACAGAAATGCCATTTATGGAATAAACTTTAAAAAATATAGAATTATGGTTCTCTTTTTATATATTCTAAGTAAGACTTCTAGATTTTCCATTTTGAAGTAACAATTTGACTTTCAAAAATTTGCTCCATAAAAGAGAAAAATCCATGAAATATAGATGGAAAGGGATGTAGACTTTGAAGATGAGGAAACCTCAAATTAAATGTTTGGGATCCTCTTGTATGCAATAAAAACTAGAGGAAAAAYATTAACTATTCAACCTGAACCAACTTTACTTCACATATTTTTTTTTGATCCTGCAACCAAACTGAGCAGTCCAGCTGTTTTGTAAACTAATCCTCCCATCCTCCTACAACCTTTCAAAAATAAAATAAATATTTGTATTTTTTATTTAAAAACCAGTTCGTAACCATACCAATGTCTCTGGAGAAATGGTTTATGCTGTTTTAATGAGGGATAGTGAGGCAGGGGTTTTATGATGATATTTAATATTTTACATTTATCTACAACAGTCTCCAGCAGCAGGTCAGGTGTGCAAACACAGTAAATTAGGGCAATTTCTTAAAATTCTGTAAATGTGAGCTATGTTTAAATCCTCTCTTGGAGGTGTCCAGGGAAGGAATGGAGGTGGCACTGAGAGCTCTGGGATGGGGACAAAACCTTCTCCACTCCTTCTTTTCCATCCCAGGACCCATGATAATAGCGTGGCTTATTGTTCTTGGGAAAATTTTTGGAACTAGATGGGTTTTGGAACTAGATGATCTCTCAAATCACTTCCAACCCAAACCATTTCATCATTCTATGAAAAAAAGAGAAGATAATATCCTTAGGAAAAAGATGGGAGACAAGTCATAAGGGGGAAAACATGAATTCAGAAATATGAGAATGATTAAAACTGTAAAATCAACCTGGTAATGATGAAATTAGGAGAGGAGAAATGTGATGTCACAGGCATGGATTCCCAGGTAARAAATCACGAGAGAAGAGCAACATTCTCAAAGTCTTTCCAGCAGTTTATTTTAGAGATTAGTTGCCATTATGATTTTGGATATGGCAGAGGGATAACAGAAACAATAATCCTGCCCATGGCCATATCTATTCTGATTCATCCTGCCTTAAAAAGAATAAATAATATATGAATAGGTAAATA